TACTGAGGGTGACATAATGAAACTCTATCTTAAAAAAAAAAGAGAAAGAGAGAGAGACAGGAAAGATCAGAGGCAAAAAATGTGAAAGGTAGTCTCTCTTTTCTGAAATATTACTTTTGCTCTGAAAGTAATAAATGATAATGTGATAATTAAAGAAATAAATATATAAACTTTCCTGAGCTGAGTTTTCAGACCCAAATGTTTTACCAAGTTAAAAAAAATAAAGACATATGTGGATGAATTGTCTGAATCCCAAAGGTGAAATAAATCTTCAAGATAGGAAAAACAGTTTTATTTGTAAAGAATCAGATTGGAGGGGTGGTGCCTGTGGCTCAAGGAGTAGGGTGCCAGCACCATATGCCAGAGGTGGTGGGTTCAAACGCAGCCCTGGCCAAAAACAGCAAAAAAAAAGAAAGAAAAGAAAAAGAATCAGATTAGAATTACTTCTAACAGATAGAAAGTAGTCCAGACAAAAAAAGGACAACAAGCCAATTTCTGGTTTCTACCTAAGATATTATTCATGTTAAGTGTAAAACATTTCTTGGCAATGTAGTATATGCCAAGCATATTCTGAGCATATTATCCAAGGAGACACTCCAGCCAAAAGCAAATAGAACAAAGAACTCAAAATTTAGAAAGCAAGGGCTAGGCGCTGTGGCTCCTGCCTGTAATCCCAGCACCCTGGGAGGCTGAGGCAGGTGGATTGCTTGAGCTCAGGAGTTCCAGACCAGCCTGAGCCAGAGTGAGCCCCAGTCTTTAAAAATAGCCAGGCATTGTAGTCACAACCACTGGGGAAGCTGAGGCAAGGGAATCACTTGAGCCCGAGAGTTTGAGGTTGCTGTGAGCTATGATGCCATGGCTTTGTACTGAGGGGGACCAAGTGAGACTGTCTCAAAAAAAAAAAAATGTTGTGGTTATGCTACAAAGGAAAATAGTGTTTCTGTTAAATGTTTCCAATGGTACTCTCATTTTTCTTCCCCTAAATGCTTTAATTTTATGAGGTGTAATTTATGGGGCAAATTGCTGGTCAGGACTAGACAATAGAGTGTATATTGTTTCTCTTCCTGATTCTCTTTTCTGTTTATTTATGTTTTTATTTCGAGTCCATGTAAATCCCTTTCGGTACATACACACACAAACACAAAATCCTGTTCTGAATGTTTAGAAAAGGAAAAGAGTGGAACATCTCACTTTGTTATGTAATATGGTTAAAATTGCATAGTTTTTAAAAAAGTATTAAAATAGTACCCAGCCACCTGGAAATTTGAAGTGTCTTTTCTTAAGTTGTATAGGGCCAAGAAAAACATTTTGAAACACAAATTAATGGTGTTCCAAAAGGTAAAGAAAATGATTATAGTTCTGTAAAAACAGTACTTAAAGGAAGTAGAGATGGGGGGAGTGCGGGCCTCGCTTTTTGCTCAGGCTAGTGGTCTTGAACTCATGAGCTCAAGCTATCCACCTGCCTCGGCCTCCCAGAGTGCTAGGATTACAGGCGTGAGCCACCACGCCTGGCCTTGTCTTCAAGTTTGGGTTGTTGCTGCGGCTATGCCTATTGTATTGCCTGGGGCTGGGGCCGGAGAGGCCAAAGGGAAGAAAAAGAATTCTGCCCATGTGTTCTGCTTGCAGTTATATACGCCTGTGTTGCTGGGCTGCCGCTGCCCCAACCACAGGACTGGTTGGGAGCCAGGTCCTGAGAGAATGCTTAAAAAAAGAGAGAGAATCAACAACCTGGTTTGTCCTGTAGAGACCCAACGCCTTGTCTCCTGTTGCTCAGACCGGAAAGACTGGGCTTCTTGTGCGGCTCTTCGTATTTGCGCCCAGTGTACAGATCCAGGTTTCAGGCTTCTGGCTTCAGGCTGTCCCTGAGTCTGAGCCAGGAGATATCACAGAAAGTAAAACACAGGAAGCTTCCTGCCGACTGGGTGGTACTTTGGGCTCTCCTGTTGCCTGCTGACATTTTCTGTAGAGTCCCATTTAGCTTTTCCGTGCATTCCATCCAGGATTCTTAGTTGCATTGGAAGGAGCGATGTGGAGTGTGCTTTTTCTAAGACTTTTCATTGATAAGCTCATTTGAAAACAGTTTAAGTGGAGGGTTATTTAAAGAAATAATTCAAGTAAGGGATGGAACAAACAGTGAATCGCTTTTTTTCTGTTCATTTGTTACCAGAAATTTTCCTTAGTTGTCTGTCTGTTTATCCATATCTGGTATTAATTTAAAAATTTAGACAAAGTGTAGATTTTAAAAGCAATATTTTCTTTTTATATTAGTTTTTGAATGCTAAGGATATTTTGATGTATTATCTGGGCATTTTAAACAAAATAATGAAATATAGATCTGATAACTATCAATTTGGTTTTTGTTTTTTTTGAGACAAAGTCTCAAAACCCAGGCACTCACCCTGGGTTGAGTGGCATCATAGCTCACAGCAACCTCAAACTCTTGGGCTTGATCAATCCTCTTGCCTCAGCCTCCCAAATAGCTGGGATAACAGGGGCTACCTACCACAACACTCGGCTGGTTTTTCTATTTCTTAGTAGAGACGAGGTCTTGCTCTTGCTCAGGCTGATCTTGAACTCCCGAGCTCAAGCAATCTGCCTGCCTCAGTCTCCCAGAGTGCTAAGATTACAGGTGTGAGCCACCGCACCTGGCCTATCAATTTGAATAAAATTTGTAATTATTAAGTGATTCTCATTAGATTGAACTTTAACATAGGTGCTCCTTACATGCCTGTCTTTGGACAACTGTTTGTTACAAAGTATAGAAAAATCATAGAATGAAATCCAACAAACTTAATTAAGACTTTCCAAAGCCAGCAGTACCCATTACGGCTGCTTTTTTGTCTGATCTATGCTGTAAGTCCTCCCTGCTCATTCAGGAGTCACTTCACATACAGTTATATCCAAATGATCAATGGTATTCAACTTCATTAGTCAACAGGGAAATGCAGGATCAGACTACGTGCAATACTACCACAGTAGCTAAAATGAAACACATTGACAATATTAATTATTGGCAAGAATACAGGATAACTGGAATTCTTAGGCTGCTGGCAGGAGCCTTTAAATTGGTATAACTACTTTGAAAAACTATCTGAGAGTATCTATTAAAGCTAGTCCTCAATGCGAAGACCCTAGCACTTCCATCCCTTGATATTAACAAAGATGAATAAATATATGTCCACCAAAAAATAATGTGCATGAGTTTTCAGTATGGCCTCTTTGTATCAGCCAAACACTGGAAACTACCCTAAGGCATAGCAGTTGTAAAACACATTGACAACTTGTGTATGGTTACATAATGTAGGGGAAGAGTGAATGGAACAACTACCTGTAACAATGTGAACGACTTGTCACAAGCATGATATGGAACAGTTTGTATCTTGATCTGAGTGTGGGTAACCTGGATGTATTCACACAGTGAAAATCTGGCTATGTAGTTTTAAGGTTTATGCATTTTTTTGTATGTGTGTTATGTATTTCTTTCTTTTTTTTTGCAGTTTTTGGCCGGGGCCTGGTTTGAACCCGCCACCTCTGGTATATGGGGCCAGCGCCCTCCTCCTTGAGCCACAGGCACCGTCCATGTTATATATTTCAGTAAAAAGTTTACTGAATGAGTTGTCTTGATTTTTTTTGTTTGCTTGTTTTTTTAAAAATTTTACTTTTTGTGTATTTTTTTTTTTTTGACCCGGAGTCTCACTGTGTTGCCCTCAATAGTGCTTTGGCATCATAGCTCACAGCAACCTCAAACTCTTGGCCTTAAGTGATTCTCTTGCCTCAACCTCCCGAGCAGCTGGGACTACAGGTGCCGCCACAACACCTGGCTATTTTTTGGTTGCAGTTGTCGTTGTTGTTTAGCAGACCCGGGCCAGGCTCAAACCCGCCAGCTTTTGGTGTATGTGGCTGGCGCCCTTACTCACCGAACTACGGATGCCGAGCCTTGTGTATTTTTTTGTTCTTAGCCCCTTATTGAACTCATTAGATGGAGTAGTTTTCCACTTGATTCTCTTGAGTGTTACAGATATATGATACTTTCATTAGAAAACTAATATGGCACTTATCTTTGGGAGAATAATTTTTAGTGCCAAAAATCACACACAGAATTGATTTTTTTAAGCAGCCATATGTCTTTAAAAGAAAAAGTGTCCTGCATACAGCACCTGAGAAGGCCTTCTGATGTCCCTTCTGTGGCTCACAGACCTATGCAGTGTGAGAGCTCAGAGGGCCTTAGTGTTGTCCCTGTTAAGTGAGTGTCCCTTTACATTATGTTCATAAGAAGTGTGGACATAGTCATAACACATGTAATTCTGTTTATCCCTCTGCAAACGCTTTGTTTAGTTTTCGGAGTTTCTCGGTTGTTGGTTGATTGGTTGTTCTTGCAGATCTTTTCACAGATGCTGCTGACACTGAGAAGATGGCCAGAAGTTTGGAAGATTCTGAGGGAGTTTATTTTGTCCCATCTTTTAGTGGATTGCAGGTATTTCTTTACAAGTTAATGATAATTACTAACATTTTCCTTCTTTTACCATACTCAAAATTATGTATCTACCACTCTGTTACCTGAAAATTTGGGTACTAAACAGAATGAAGATGAAAGCTGTGTTCTAGGGGTGAGCTGTTTGGGCTCTGAGCTGGCACCAGTTCCACAAGAGAGTAGGATGTCCCTGAGTGGGACCCTCCTGGTTTGGCTTTTACTACAGAGTTCATTTGGTTTCTGCTTAGAGCTCTTTCCCTGGAGAACCAAAGAGTAGGAGTTGCCAAGTTTATCACAGAACTTTTATGTAAGACCTGGGATTACTTTATCATGACCCAAACAGCCATTTCCCAATGGGGGAAATACGTCAGCAGAATGGCATTCTTAGAGCAGCGGTTCTCAACCTCCCTAATGCCTCCTAATTCTGCGACCCTTTAATACAGTTCCTCATGTTGTGGTGACCCCCAGCCATAAAATTATTTTCATTGCTACTTCATAACTGTGATTTTGCTACTGTTATGAATAGTAATATAAATATCTGCTATGCAGGATGTATTTGCATTGTTACAAAGGGGTTGTGACCCACAGGTTGAGAACCAACGCTGACTTAGAAGAAGTATACAACTGAGAGTTAGAAAACAATGTCAAGGTCCGTACACCACACGCACTCATACATATATACCATGGGTGCATATATTTTGCAGTTGCATTTATAGATTTCATTAACTATTTAAAAAATCAACATCTCTTTTTGCTAATTGTAGTAGAGTATTTGTTCCTTTGCTAATCAAAAAGTAAACCTGGTAAAAAATTTGATTTTGTAACATTTCACTTTGTATTTAATTGAAAGACCTGTGATGGTGCGTTTGATTTTAGAATATTGTTACAAAGACTTAAAACTTTTCAAGTATATTATTATGAACAAAATTACTCTTTCGGGAAAGCTTAAACTAGTCCTTTTAATCCTGCTCTAAATGTTTTTTCTTTCAAAAAATAAAGTTTCTTGGGTGGCGCCTATGGCTCAAAGGAGTAGGGGGCCGACCCCACATGCCAGAGGTGGTGGGTTCAAATCCAGCCCCAGCCAAAAACTAACAAACAAACAAAATAAAATAAAGTATCTTTATCCTAGTCCATCCCATATTCAGACAATCAGTTACAAAAAGTCCAAAAGTTGAAAATTTTGGTGATTTAATGTAGAAGCTGGTGGGGGGAGGTGAATTATAGCAGGTTTTTTTTTTTTAAGAGACAGAGTCTCACTTTGTCGCCCTTGGTAGAGTGCCATGGCGTCACAGCTCACAGCAACCTCCAGCTCTTGGGCTTAGGTGATTCTCTTGCCTCAGCCTCCTGAGTAGCTGGGCTACAGGCCTCCACCACAACGCCCAGCTATTTTTTTGTTGCAGTTTGGCTGGGGCCAGGTTTGAACCCACCACCCTCAGTATATGGGGCCAGCGCCCTACTCACTGAGCCATAGGCACTGCCCAATCAGGGTATTTTAAATCTTTAATAATTTTAAACTTCCAAACTAGATTTTATTATTTGTTTATTTATTTTCTGAGGCAAAGTCTCACTTTGTCACCCTCTGTAGGGCATTATAGCTCACAGCAACCTCAAACTCTTGCGTTCAAATGATTCTCTTGAGAGAATCCTGAGTAGCTGGCACTGTAGACACCCCCCACAATGCCTGGCTATTTTTTTAGAGATGGAGTCTCGCTCTTGCTCAGGCTAATCTCAAACTCCTGAGCTCAAGTAATCCACTACCTGGGCCTACCAGAGTGCTGGGATTATAGGCATAAGCCGCTGTGCCCAGCCAAACTAGATTTTAAAATGAGGATTATTTTAATGTCTGTGATATTTTTCTTCCATGTATAATATCCTAAAGGATTGAAAGCTTATGACCTGCATAGAGAGACTGATTGCATCCTCTCGGGGGTGATGTGAGGCAATCACTAAGTTGCACCCAGGATAGGACAGAAAGTGAAAGGTATTCATCTAATGGAGGTTTTAGGAGGAAGGTTAGATGACTGTCATCAGCATAAATAAAGTTTGGTTAAGTTACTGTTGATTCTCCCCTCTTTGAAAAATGGGCTGGAGGACTAAGTGACTTTGTCATAGCAACTGTCTTTGAAAAATAACATAAAGTGTTTTTTTGGTTTTTTTTAGAGACAGAGTCTCATTTTGTCACCCTTGGTAGAGTGCCGTGGTGTCACAGCTCCCAGCACCCTTTAGCTCTTGGGCTTCGGTGATTCTCTTGCCTCAGCCTCCCAAGTAGCAGGGACCACAGGCACCCGCCACAATGCCCGGCTATTATTTTGTTGCAGTTTGGCCGGGGCTGGGTTTGAACCTGCCACCCTCAGCATATGGGACTGGCACCCTACTCACTGAGCCATAAGTGCTACCCAACATAAAGTGTGTGAAAAAAAAACCCAAAGTATTGCACAAGCCCAAAAGATTTAGATACAACTATCACATATAGGATTTTTACCTTTGTTTTGATAATAAAATGTCTATGTCTGGCCATGAATGCAACCTGGCAAGAAAGGGATGGGATGACTGCAGGCCAAATAGTCACCTGAGTAAAATGAAACTCTTAGTTGGAAACTGGACGTTAATTCAGAAAACAAGAGTGTATTGATACCAAGCTTTTTAGGAAATAGGGGAGAAGATCAACTCTAAGCTGCCTGTGTCGAGAACTAGAGGAAAATGAAGGGGAATGGAAAGAAGGAAGGCTGGTTCAGTGATCTGTGGTACTGCCTTTAGATATTGGGAGTCAAGACATGGAAGCCTGTGCTTTGGAGAGTGAAGTACTAAATAAAGCAGGTGTTGGAGGCAAGAATCAGTGGTCATCTACTTAGATGTTTGAGTTGCTGTGAGATGGCAGTAGTAGGATAGGTAGGATGGAAGTCAAGTCCAAGTCTTCAGAGGGTGAGGAATCGTGTTCCAGTGATGTTTTTTTTGTTTCCAAGGAACGAGCTTGCTTAAGCCAATTGGAGAGAAGCTGGCTTTTCTCATACTCCTGAGAACTGGAGTGGAAGGGAGCCAGCAGCTGACTTAGCAGTTCTTGGTGTTCTTTGGTTTCTTGCTTCTTTGTGTAGTTCTGCCTTTTCGATTTTCATTGCCAGCTTTGTTCTGTCTCCTTTCTTCCTCATAGCTTCTGCTTAAGTGTTATTATTTTGTTATCCTTTCTGCTTCTTCACAACTTAGAAATGGCACGTACAACCTTCCTCCACATTATGCATCCTTTGAGCTTCAGTTCCCCCATTGATGGAGTCTTTTTCTTAGTGTTTCCTACTTTCATTTTCCAAGTGGAAGGATCTCTTTATTTATCTTTTCAAGCTTTGTTCAGACTTTGAGCCAATAGTGTTCACTCCCCTACAGTCATGGTGGTTGTAGAGGGTCCAGGGTACATGGTGGCTTTAGACAGCAGCTGTTTCCTTAGAAGGGCATGAGACCAACTGCACCTGCTATGATTACCATCTCTAGTCTCTAGTGTTACAAGTGACTGGGCATGTGAGTGGGGGAAAGGATAAGGGAGATATACGATGCTGATGTGGGCCTAAAAAAATAATAGGGGAAAGGAAATGTCTGCTAACACTAGGATCAGAATGGCCCAGAGTGGTCACAGGAAGTTAGGACAGGGTCTTCGGTCTCTGTGATGTGGAATCATGATAATCCTTTGCCCAACAGCCATAACTGAAGCCACTGACCCAGCATAGAGCCAAGTTAGTTATAGCAGCCACAGAATGAGTGGAGGGAACACCTTGGAAGAGTTCAGAAAGCACAGTGAAAGGGTTATGAAGAAAGTCAGTAGAGGTACGAAGCATTTAGATAAGGAATACTAATAAAATAATAATGGTAGTGGCAGCTACCCTCCTTACTCTCATCAGGGACTGTCCTAAGTTCTTTATGTGCATTATTTCATGTAATCCTCAATAACTCAACAAGGCGGGAGATACTCTCATTCCGAAGATAAATTTAGATAAATCTCTTTCTTCTTTTTTTTTTTATTTCTTTATTTTATTTTTTTTGAGACAGAGCCTCAAGCTGTCGCCCTGGGTAGAGTGCCATGGCATCACAGCTCACAGCAACCTCCAACTCCTGGGCTCAAGCAATTCTCCCGCCTCCGCCTCCCAAGTAGCTGGGACTACAGGCTCCCGCCACAACGCCCAGCTATTTTTTTTTGTTGTAGCCATCGTTGTTGTTTGGCAGGCCTGGGCTGGATTTGAACCCGGGAGCTCAGGTATACGTGGCTGGTGCCTTAGCCACTTGAGCCACAAGTTCCGAGCCTTTCTTTTTTATTTTTTAAAGCAAAAATGGAACTAAGTTTATTGAGGAAGAGAAAGATGGGCGTACAGAGTCAGAAAGCTTACAGAGCAGTATACATTTGCCATGGATAGCAAATAGGCCTCTATTGTCAGTTCCACTAGGCAAAGAGGCCAGTACTGTTAAATCTCTTGCTAAATCTCAGGTAGTAAGTGGCAGAGCTGATTTTGGAAGCCAGACATTCTGACTCCATTCTGCCATTCTTCCTCACGGTACAGCATAAAATATTATAGCAGTGGGAATACACAGCAGGAGACAGAAGAACTTGCATTCAGAGTCAGATTGACAAGGACAAGAGGAGGCATGTTGCCATTAACCATCCTGCAAATTCCCATCCGATTTGGCTGAGATCCCAGTGGTGACAGGAGCCCCGGGGGAGGTAAATTTATGCCTTAGTAGGACATTTCTGGTTTGCTCCGGGTGCCAGACAGAACTTTGATGAGTCCTGTTATTCCTAGTTGGTCGATGCTTCTGTGGAGGCCCACTGTATATAGTCAAAAATCTGCCGATAACTTTTATTTGGGAGACAGAGTTTCACTGTTGCCCAGCTAGAGTGCCTTGGCTTCATCATAGTTCACTGTACCCTCAAACCCCTGAACTCAAGCAATCTTCCTGCCTCAGTCTCCTGAGTACCTGGGACTACAGGCCTACACCACCATCCCTGGCTAATTTTTTCTATTTTTAGTGGAGGGGGTGTCTCACTCTTGCTAGTTTTGAACTCCTGAGCTCAACAATCCTCCTGCCTGGGCCTCCCAAGATGCTAGGATTACAGGTGTGAGCCACTGTGCCTGATCAGCATATAACTTTTGACTCCTTCTAAACTTAACCACTAATAGCCTTTTGTTGACTGGAAGCATTATCGATAGCATAAGCACTTGATTAATACATATTTTGTATGTATTACATGTATTCTTACAATAAAGTAAGATAGAGAAAAGAAAGTGTTATTAAGAAAATCAAAAGGAAGAGAAAATATATTTCTACTTTTTAAGTAGATGTGAATCACTGTAAAGGTCTTCATCTCCTTGCCTTCTTCACCTGGAGTAGGCTGAGGAGGGGGAGGAAGAGTTGGCCATGGCTGTCTTGGGATGGCAGATACAGAAAAAATCTGCCTGTAAGTCAGTTGTCCTCAACCTTCCTAATGCCGCGACCCTTTAGTACAGTTCCTCATGTTGTGGGGACC